AAAAAAGGCATGAGAAAAACATTACTTAAAAAAATTAAAACTTAAGAAAACAAAATCTGATATTTTACATACAATAGCCTTGTAATGTTTACAGATAGTCTGCCAAATTTCGTCAATATACGCTTACTAATTTAAAAGTTATAGTAAGCAAACAATAACAAGCACAAAATGGTTATGACGTCTGTCCCAGGGGCTGAGCCCATGCTGAAAGAGTTAACCAGCTATCATTTAAGTGAGTCCCCCAGATTGCCCTTAACTTCTTCATATAATATAATTACAATTCTTGGAAAGTTTTCTTGTACAAAACTTGAAGATAGCTTTTATATATGGAAACATCTGTTAGCTGAGTTCTTGCACAGATCTTGAAATATAATGTTGATAAATGAAAACATCAGCACATGTAGATATGTAGATCTATTTTCTATAGATCATTTTCCAGACAGTTCTGCTATAATTAGTGTCTGGCAAAAAGCTCCAGCAGATATTTCCTTTGCAACATCTCAATCAATAATTGGTCCAGTTATCAATGCTATTTTCAAGTTTTGAACAACTCGACTTTCAAGATCTACGTATCTACATGTACCGAAGTTTCCATTTATCAACGTTGTATTTTAAGATCTGTGCAAGAACTCAGCTAACAGATGTTTCCGTATATAAAAGCTATCTTCAAATTAAAATTCTGTTATTTAACAGCATTTCCAATTTTTTTCCCAATCAAGTATTTCTATCAAATCTCTTGTTTGTTATGCAACTGATTATCAAAAGCTTTTTCCAAATTTTTCATTTTCAGCCTTTAACACAAGGGCAGGTGCATGTGGGATATTCTTCCTTACTCTATTTTTAAGGTTTATTAATTATCTTAGCAAAAGTATGAATAAAGTTGTTATAGTAAAGAATTTCAAATACACACAAAGAAACACCAAACACTTGTGCAGCAAAAAGTGACGAAGTGTTGTTTGGAGTTATTTGGAGTAATAAAGTCAAGAGGCTAGCATATTTTTTAAATATCAATAAAATAAAACTAATTAATTGCAAAAACCATAAAATAAAAAGAAGAAAACAGATAAAACTTGTACTTTTTTATTATAGTTAAAAAATTAAATAGAATTAAAGTCTATGTCTCATAAATAATTAAAAACTTTCATAATTTAATCAATATTATTTCATCTGACACTGCCCAATGTCAAAGGGATACCACAAGTTAAAATGTGCTGAAAATACTACTGTTACTGAATATCATAGTCCTAGCAAGAAAGTAAAATGTGGGTAATATCAACTTGAATTTCACATTGCTCACACAAATCTGGGTCAGTCCCCTTTAGCTGAAAACAAAGTGTGAG